ACCTTTTTAATCTGCATATAAAGCATTAGAAATGAGTTATTTGTTTAATTTTTATTTTGTGTTTGACTTTTAAAACAAAAATTGTTGTTTGTCTCAATAAATTGAGTTAATTTAAAAATACAGTGGTTAAATGTAAAAAAAAAAATTCTATTGCTCTTTGTTTTAAAAAAGGTTATAAAAAATGTCAATAATTATCGATACCGAACGATATGAAACATTATATCGTTGATAAATTTTTTAGCTATATTGCCCAGCCCTAGGAAGTGAACAAGAACTTTAGAAAATACAATGGGTCTCAATCACTAAGCATGTGTATGCTGGAATTTGTGTGTGAAATTTATGTATGAACGTTTTCATAAATGTTTCACAAACTAACATTTATTCTAAATAAATGGAAAAAAGTAGGAACAACTGAAACCACAAAAAGTACATACTCTGGGTGGCCTTATAATCATGTTAAGATAAAAAAAAATCATAAGACTATTGTAATGCCATATATTTATTTCTCTATCTCGGTCTCTAGATATCTTTGATATGGTTATGTATATGGCCTGTAGGAATGTATGTTTGGTGCACACTGTTTGGTGCAGTATATTAAAGTTATTAAAAACAAATCCAATGTATACAGAGTTGTGCAGAGAGTAATATATGCATGATGTGTGGATATGTGTGTGTGTGTGTGTGTTACATCTATATCTCAAGATACATAGATAGATAGACTTTGTGGTCACAATTAGGGCTGCACGGTATTGGGAAAAACTCACATTGTGATATTTTATTTTTCTGCGATTATATATATATTGCAATATGTAAAAAAAATCACCACATGACTTGAATAGTTTATTTGGGGGAAAAAAAAAATCAATGATTGGGGTGATTTTGCAGGTGAGTAAATCAGCATAGGAAATAAACAGATTACAAGCATAGATAAATATAACAGAACGAAGATACAAATGAAATAAGCAGTGCTTTATATTTTTCAGGTAAGTCTAACAGTATTCAGGTACAGAAATTGAATAATAAAATGTAAATAATAATACAACACTGCTTCACTGTATAAATTAAATCTAATAAATCTGTGTTAAAGCTACAAAAGTGATTTTTCTTTGTTTTGTTTTTTGATTAACATTCATAACACAAAGTCTCAGGAACATTAAACTGCTGTAAACCAATATACTGTTACACATCCATTTTCTTTCTCAATTGTTTCCCTTCAACTAAGCCATAAGCAACTACGTTTACAAGGATAATTGCAGAGCACAGTATTTCAGGCACAAATAGACGCAAAAGTGAACAGAAATTAGTGTTCACGTGCATCTGCGTGACTCTCACCGTGTCTACACCGGACGCGAGTGGCGTGGCACGATGCGACAAAATACTATGAACCTATTATAATCAGTGATGCTGTCTGTCTACACTGGATGCGGCGCGGCACAACAAATCCCCGACAGTAAACTGATGCCGCGTTCTCTTTATGACGTACTGACACAAAGTTCAAATGATTGACAACGGTCGCTTTGTCGCGTCCAGTGTAGACAGACTTTGGGGCCGTTCACATGTCGCGCCTAAAAACGCGTGGGAAAATGCCAGTCGCGCCGCTTTCTCCTTCTTTCCAAATGGATTTCCAGCACTGAAAATCGCGTGCAGTAGCGATTTAAATGTATTTAAAATGTGTATCTCTGTACAGCTGTCGCGTCCGGTGTAGCAAAGAAAAACAATCAGTATAAATATAACGATCAGTAGCCTATACTAAACATTGCACATCCTGCGTTGTGACTATCGTGGATGTGCATATCGTGATATCGATGCTGAAACGATATATCGTGCAGCCCCATTTATGAATATGGGACTACCGATATAAACTTTTTGTATTTTATATGTATAATAAGCGGAGTAATTGCAGCATAAAATGAAGATAAGGTTAGAAAGCATGAAGCATGTGTTGTTAGAAATGCCATCTGTCAGTCAAGTCTGAATCAAGGCAACCCATAGCAATGCATTATAACAACAATGTCTCAGAAGGCTGATAGAAGTAAACGATAAATGAATGAGTGATCGTTACAAAAGTGCTCATCAAATACACTGAACATGGAAGCTCAAACTTGTAACGCACTAGAAGAGACGAGACCTCACTTTTTCTCGCGCGTCATGCACGCATATTTCTTCTTTAGGTTTTCACATTTGAGCGTCGTCTTTTCCTTTTAATGGTGGTTGGCAAACCCACTTAAAGGCGCATACTGCTTCCTGCTGCACAACACCGGCATGACAGCTGACGTAAAATAAGGATCGGACTCAGGAGAGCCGATACCGGTCAGTTAAAAAATTACTTGATCTGCCCCGATCCTTGAGATTGGCTCGGGACATCCCTAGTTTACTTTTAATTTTGCATCATAAAAGCACTTGATGCAAGAAATGCACAGCCGCAGCCATGATCATACGTTTCATACATGAGCTTTGTGTATCTAAAATGTACTGTATTCCAATCTGCATAAATGATGCATTCGTTGAGCATATCTAAGGTAAAACACTTAAAGGGATAGTTCACCCAAAAATGAAAATTTGATGTTTATCTGCTTACCCCCAGGGCATCCAAGATGTAGGTGACTTTGTTTCTTCAGTAGAACACATATGATGATTTTTAACTTTAACAACGTGTAAAAATGCACATTGCACATCCTGTGCAATGAACCCCGCAATTGCCCTTGTTATTTCGCTTTAAACCATGAAACTTTATGCAAGTTTATAAGCTTATAGCTTATTCAATATTAATAATAATGAGAGTTTTCCCTGAATAACAACTCAAATATATGTACAGCTGGCTAATGAGAGGTGTTTGAAATGGTTTTGAGGATGGCACGCTTGCTATAGCTGGAAGATCTTGCTGTGCAAATTCTCAGGCAAGAATGTGTCTTATTGCTGAGAGTGAATTAAGGCTGTAAAGGAAAATTTGTGCAGAAAGCCCTTATATAGAGATGGTTTAGGTGTGTTTTATGCACTTCACTAACATTAGAACATTAGTTGTGAATTAGGCCAATTTTTTTCATGTTCTTTTGTTCATAAAAAAGCTAAAGCCATGCAACTAGTGAATAACACCCAGTGAGGTCATCTTGCACTTTAAGCTCAGTTGTGTTAGTGTCGGAATCTGACAACAGCTCTTAATGGTCATCATATCTACCGTTTGCTGTGGGTTTTTTGCATGTATATAAGCATGTCAAAGATATTATGGTGTGTTTATGCTTGTTTAAACATCACAGACATACTAATGAAACTTTAGGGATTTGATTCACAGTTCCAGTTGTGATTCCTAGAAAAACAGGAAGTAGCCAACAAAGGGAGGAAGTGAGGTGCAGCCTGGGAGAGGAGCATTTTTACAACCCTCAGTTTGACCCATTGAGCATGCTAAAGTAAACCATGATGTTGTCATTATTATTTTATTAGTGTACTGATGTTTGAGGGCTATAATTAGTGGTGCTCCGATCAGTATTTTTGAGACCGATCGCCGATACCGATCACCGATACCAATCTTTTTAAAGCCTTCTTTTTATCATTTATAACTATTTATAGTGATACTCCAATCAGGATTTTTAGACATTTTTTCAGGGCCTGAATTTAATTTTTGAAAATGGTGTGAAACACAATAGATTTTAATAATATGCATTTATGGTGTAATTACTACATTTTCGTGTCAATCCATGTTCATATTTACTGCAAACAATGCGCTGTTACTTTAATTCAGTGCTTGCAGCAGCTACATCTCTGCACTGCAGCAGACGCACTGCTCCTGAACGCACCGCCGGACCGTAACCGTGTGCAGTGAACACTTTAATCCATTAACATGAGAGCGGAAAAAATACGCACCACGTGTGCACTGCAAACAGAGTAATGTGAACCTGGCATTATGTGTGTGCGCTGCGAGTGTGTATGAGCGCACGGTCTCCAGGAGAGCGCGCGAGTGCTGAATGGTTAAACACTGGCAAGAATTAAAAAGAAATGCAAATTATAAACTTTAGTGACGATGTGACACTGCCTCGACTGTGCAAGTGACAATTCCTGTCAACTGTGCAGCGTGCAGCTCACTCATAGACAGATGCAATGTGTGGTGATTTGAAGCCATTTGCGCATTTTAAGAGAGAAAGAGAGAGAGAGCGCGCGCGGTGATTCACTCACGCGGTTTGTGAAATTACATCTCACACAAGGTTTTCAAATTACTTTATAAGTTATTTAATTTAGAAATATGAAGGTGAGTACCTCACCTTTAGCATTATAATTATTTCACCCACTCTGGACAGAGACTGAGACTGTGCTGCTGCATGTCGAGCCAAACCTCTCACGGCAGCGTCATCAGCTTGAGATCGTTTTTTTGAGATCGGCCTTTTTAGAGACCGCGATCAATCATCCCAACGTTATTATCGGCCGATAGTGATCGGTAGCCGATCAATCGGAGCACCCCTAATAATAAATATACACAGTACACACACACACACACATATAGTATGTAAACATAAACTTT